GCCACCCGCGCACCCATCACGAAAACTTAGTTCTTCCCCAGTAGGGCGCCCCGCCCCTACTGGTTCCCTGCGTTCCCCTGTCCCCGGGATCCTGGCTTCTGCCAGCGACCCTTCAAGGACGGGCTTGGGAAGGACCGTCTGCGGAGTCTTTCCGCGGGATAGTCGCGCTTGAAGTGGCCCATCTTCCTACAGCCGAAGCAGCGGATGTCACGCTGTTCGGCGGACCCGAGTTCCATGGGAACGGGTCCGTTGGGGCTTGTTCGACCGGGAGCCGACAAGGAACTCCCAGGCCACGCTGAGGCCGGCGTACGCGCCTGGCGATGGCTGTACTCCTCCTAAAGAGCCACTTGAATCGCCTCTTCAAGGGTGCTTGACTGCACCCGGAACAGCTGAGTGCGTGCGGGGCCCACTCGAAGGCCGTCCATGAACACAGTCATCCTGATGTGTTCGTTGAGTGGGTTTCCCACTAGGGACGCCGTGAGCTCCCGTATCTCTTGCACATACTCGTGCAGCTCGCGCCTTCCTTGTTTACACGCGAGGAAGCGCGAACGCTGGCGGTACTCGTACTTCGCCGGGAGGAACGCGGCTCGGAGCTGTTCGCATAGCTGAGCCCAGGATGTGAAACGTCCAGGGGATGTCGCTTCCCGAGTGTACACCCAACTCTTAGCACGACCGCTAAGGTTGGAGAGTGCAAAAGCAACACGCAGTTGCTCGGTCGAGATCAGAGCCGCGTCCATCGCGAGCTCTACTTCTCGGACCTAGAAGTGAAGGTTCTCGCCTTCCTTCCCTTCAAACGGCTTAACCTTCAGCCGTATTGGCTTCGGGTGAGGCGGATTTGCTTCCGCCGCCGGAGCCTGCAGGTTCTCCCGCACATGCGCGATGAGGCCCTGCTCGTACGCGTCGAATGCATTGACGCGCTCGAGCTGCTCAGCCGGTGTTGACGCCACCAGGCTCTGCAGGGCCTCCATCCCGAAGAAGCCTGCCATCTTCCGAACCGACCCGAGCTGAGAGTCGTTCAAATGGGAGAAGTCGTTCCTATCCATGGCAACGAGCTTCGGAGAGGTTCAGGTAGTCTACTCGCGGTGGCGTGGATTGACTACTAGTGCTACCAAGTGTGACGGGGTCACACAGCACCTTGCGCTAGAGGAAGTTATCTTCCGAGAGCATACAAACTCTCAGTGAACGGCAATTCACAGGTCCCCTCTTTAATTAAAGAGAGCGAAGTGACCTAAATAAGGTAGATTGTAAACTGAGTATATTTATAGGTAGGTTAAGTTTGGGTTTAATACAAACTATAAGTTACCTATAGAAATGCAATATCATTTAGCCAATGGTTGGCTTTGAACGACCTTGGTACCTTGTACCAAATATCCCGGAGTATGACGTGTCATACTCCTTCATGTAACCAGGGTACACTTAGTGCTACGTACCCCGTTACACTTATGGGTATTACACAGTCCACTATCTCGATAATGGCCAGAGTATCCGTCGCTGATCCATTTTTTTCACATTGGAGACGTTACGCGAGATTGCCATAGATCCACCGTTAAGATGAAACCGAATGTGGTGACAACTAGCATGAGCTCACATGTTACTCGTATAAAAATAAAGTGGGAGATTTTTTTAAGGATCTTCTTGAAGTAAACTATTACATTTATGTTTGCCCCCCCCCACACACACACTATTAACCCGGTATAAAAACGGTAGACGAGAACAGGAATCCCGCAAAAGTAGTACGCCCGCCGAGGGAAGCCTATTATGCTCAAAATACTTGAGCTGGAAAGCGCAACAAGTTTCCGTGTACGCCAAGCACTCACGAATGTCCATTCGAACGCCAACAAGATTGAAATGATGGTAGGGAAGCAACTTTTCCACTATTTATTAAAACACGAGATTGGAGAGAAGATCGCTGGCAAAGTGAGCTGGTCCGACGAAGACAAACAGTGGCGGCAACAAGACCTCACCTACGTAGAAAATGCCGAGAGTTAAATTGTTAATATGGAATGAAATAAACATCCTTGCCAATATTAATTTTTAACGCAATTTTGTAGATCCTTCAGAAATTTATGGACCGCCTTCCTCAGCTAAGTCACTTTCCTCAACTAAGTCACTCTCCGTGTCGTTGTCCAACGCTTCGTCGCTCATAGCTTCATCCATGTCTTCATCTTCATCCTTGCCTTCGTTGTTGTCAGACTTGAAATCGTCACTAGATTCTTCGTCACTGGAGTCCTCGTCGCTTGAGTCCTCGTCGCTTGAGTCCTCGTCGCTTGAGTCTTCGTCGCTTGAGTCTTCGTCGCTAGAGTCCTCTGACTCACTGTCCTCTTCATCCTCAGCCTCAGCCTCAGTTGAATCCGTCGTCTGATCGTCAGTCGAAGGGGTTCGCACGCTCTTGTCTTCGGTCCCGCACGCTTGTTCCTCGGCTTCAGCGAACGTCGGGGTCTCAGTTTTTAGATTCGTCGTGAGGTTTTCAGTGTTTTGCTCATCTTCCTCAGATTCTTCTTCATTCTCAGTGTCAGGCACCTCAACTGGTGCCTCGGTAGAAGAGACCGCCTCCGTCCGTGAGCAACTAGACGACGTTTGCACGCTCTTGCCTTCAGATTTCGTCTTTGCTTCAGCAACAGTCGTCGTTATCGGGGCTTCGGTACTTTTCTCTTCTCGCATAGCTTCATCAACCACCTCATCTAGATTAACCGTTGTTGTGGTAATTACTTCGGGGGTTTGAGGGCTTTGGTCTTCTTCTTCAGCGTCACCCACATCGATAGACGACTCGTTAGACGAGCTCTTCGACGTCGATGTCAAGTTCTCGTTTTCCTCGTCGAGTTCTTCTTCTTCAACCTCGTCCGAAGTTTCTTGTGTATTAGTCGGTGTAGTTTCAATGCTCTCTTCCGGTTCATCAAAAACCCCTTCTTCGGATTCGAGTACAGTGTCAGTAGTTGGGGCTTGTGTTTGCAGGTTCTTTTCTTCCTCAAATCCTTCTTCTGCCTCATTTAAGGCACTCGACTCGTTATTGTTGATGCCATTTTCCTCTTCTCCAGTCGTCGTATCCGACAGAGATCGACGAAGATAGATCCGCTTTTCGGTAGTCGCCACCCGGATGGGAGCTGCGATCTCTGAGCTTGCACTCGTCGGTAGCGCCGCCAACAGCGACGCGGCAGCCAACACAGCGCAGTGAATCTTCATGGCCACGTGCAACTCTTTGCCAGATTCCGAATGAGCGTTGGTGATCCATCAGTAATACTGACAGTCGCAAGTTGCGAGCTCAGTACATTTTCATGGAAATCTCGAGTTTGCCTTTTCGGCATAGAAAAAGTCAGAAAACGCCTTCGTGGTACCCAGTAGGTGTTTTCCATGAAATTTTAGCGTAGCGCAGATTGCCCAGGCTCATTAGTAGTACGCCTAGGAATGCCAAAATATTTGAGAAACTTTGTCCGCAGTTTCAATACGTAACGGGGCAAGATCAGCTCTATTAAAATAATGAGCTGGTCCTTTGTTGCCGCGATGACGGCGAGATCAAGTAGGAGCACCGAGTGCCCTCTTCCTTCATAATCTGGAAGGCACCTTAGCTCAGCTATCTGTGGAGTAGATTCTGGGACGACGTCTCAGATTTAGGGCAATCTGAGCCATTTTGGTCATTTTTTATAAATCGTTCAGCTAATAATTAAAATCAATACATGGAGCATACTGAACAGAATGGTTGACGAGTTGTGCAGTGTGATATCTGCGAACGCCGAAATGACTGGCCCACGATGCTCTTCATAATAAAGAGTTTTATTAAGGGTTCTTCGGGCCCCTGACCCATCGATTTGCTTCATGTCCAAACCTCAACCGGAACGATGGATCGCCGATCCACATTTGGTGTCGTTACTGAGACGTGAATGTTGATACCATCGGTCCGGAAATGCGTGCAGGATGTTTTTTCCGTGTCTCTGGCGACAGGCGCAAGCCTTGTGGAGCGAATAGCCGCCCTGTGGACACTGTGGCATATTCTGTTCGTGGCGTGAAGCTTACAGCCCGATGGGTTAACCGGTGGGTAACCCATCGGGCTGTAAGCTTCAGGTTGTGTAGGAAATAAACTTCTACACCTGCCCCTTACGCGGACATTGCTATTATATTTCCCCGTAAACAAGTAGAGTCCGCCGCTTGCAAAATGCAATCGGTTCAGACACTGGGCCCACCTTTCGCTGTTACATCTTTGTCCGACTCGTCACGCGCGAACTAGAAGATAAGGCTGAGGACCCAGGCCCGACTGAGTTCAGTCGATTGGCACAGCACTCGTGGTGTTCTGGTCTTCAAACCCTGCAACTTGTGGCAGTAAGCTACCGTTTTGTCGCGTTCCCAAATCCCCCAAGCTAATTGGTTCATCAGCCAGTCTTTTTATTATGGAACGAGGATGTCACACCCACGTCTTCTAGCTTTAATTGTTTGCAAACCAAAAGGAATTCAGTACTTTTTCGAATCATCTCCAATTATTTTTATTGCTGTCTGATAGTTATATATGTTTGATCCTTGTAGGGAAATCTGCACTTGTACCCGTTGGACTTGAATTCCAGGAGCTATCTATCATACTGTAGATGCTCTCGCGACAATAGGTTAGCTGCTGATCCTCTTGACAATCGGGGCCCATCACAATGCAACCATTTCAGTACTGAATCCAGAGAGTATTTCGTGCTCCTCATTCGAAAGGTGTGCTCTGTACTTCCCCTAGGTATTTGCGTGCCGCAACTTCATATGCTGGCGATGGGACGTAAGCGACCGAAACAGAAAACGCCCGAAGCTAACAGTCGAATGGCAACTCAACCGACCTCATAAGAAAACAATCAGTCGAGAATTCGCCAAAGGTACACGACATCTCGCCAAGCAGCGATGCATCCGTTCAATGCCATAGCCGATACCTTCGACGTGACTCCAGTACGATCTCGACCTGTTCTCGCACCGCGAGTACCAGCCGTCACAGCACTCGCCGCAGAGAGAAGAGCCCCAAATCGACGCAAGAAGTTCAAATGGCGGACGCGCGATTCCAGGCTTCGCAGCTCTATAACTTGGAGCTGGACGTCATGCATCTTCAACAGGAGATCCAACGCTTGGCAGAGTATCAGCATATTCTTGACGCCCGCACTTTCAATCGTCGTGATGCGCTGGATGGCTACTACGTCAAGACAGTGCAAGAGTACCACCGTGTATTTGAGAACGGCTATCGTCCAGGCTCCCCGCTTGATGCGACTCAGTACGTTATGCAAACTATGGACGAGAACCTGAGTATCGGTGGGTTTGGCGGACGTGGCGTGATGCTGCATCAGTGGGAACAATACACAAAGGCGCTCTCCGGACTCGAATTTCACTACCTGCGCTCTCAAGTCCTCTCGATGGAAGGACGCACGGTCGTCACGTCCTATGCCAGCTACAAACACATCGTAACACGAGACACTGTGGAGGTCATGTTCCCTGAAGCACTACGACAATATCCACGCATTGTGACGAAGATGTTGGGGCGTGTGTTCAAAGGCGTCGGCAAGTTTGACTTCGTCTTTGACACGCAGACGCACAACATTATCTCGTTTGACTTCGAACTAGACTTCCTCGAAGAGTTTTCTCGTTTGCTTCAGGACCCGCGCGATCTTTGTGCCATTTTCAAAGGAGCAAGGATCACCGAGGAATGTCTGATTGGGGACGTTACCGGCTACGGGGAGGTCACGTCGAGTCCAAACGCTGGTACAATTGCGACAGCTAAAGTTGAGAAAAAGACAGAGGCCAGTTTCGATACAGATTTAGAGGATAAGACGCCTTCAGGGCATAGCGACGAAGAGTGGCGACAGCCTTCGTTGACTAATAGGACGGGCAGACGCAAGGAGATTTGGGAGTAGGTGCATCGTGTCATGAAGTGGAAGTCTTTTTTGTGGGTCACGCGCGTTTTCCCTTGCAGAAATCAGAGACGAATTCCAACGATTCCGTCCAAGTTGAGGTGATTTTTTCATTACACACCTGTTGTACTGTACCACGCTGGTCCGTCACTGTAGTGAGACACGGGACAAGAGCGCGTGTGTTCAGCGTAAACTTCGCTGTTGCGACGTCCATGTAATAATGGATGAATGAGAAAAG